AATTTTAGCTAGAGTCTTCCCTCTTGATTAGTTTCTTTAGGTGTACAGATTTTAGTAGGTTTATCCTTTATTATATGTCTATATGAGTGAGTATATACCATGTGTGTCTTTCTGCTTCTGGGATACCTCACTCAGGATGATCTTTTCCAGATCCCACCATTTACCTGCAAATTTCATGATTTCCTTGTTTTTTATTGCTGAGTAAGATTCCATTGTGTAGATGTACTACAATTTCTGTATCCATTCCTCCACTGAGGGGCATCTGGGCTGTTTCCAGCTTCTGGCTATTACAAATAAGGCTGCTACAAACATGGTTAAAACACGGTTGAGCAAATGTCCTTATTGTGTACTTGAGCCTCTTTTGGGTTTATGCCTCAGAGTGGTGTAGCTGGATCTTGAGGAAGCACTATTCCTTGTTGTCTGAGGAAGCACCAGATTGCTTTCCAGAGTGGTTGTACAAGTTTACATTCCCACCAGCAGTGGAGGAGGGTTCCCCTTTCTCCACAACCTCTCCAGAAAGAAGTGGGAAACAGTAAGATCTGGAGAGGACAGGAACTCCACAAGGAGAGCAATAGAACCAAAAAATCTGAGCACAGGGGTCTTTCCTGAGACTGATACTCCAACGAAGGACCATGCATGGAGATAACCTAAGACCCCTGCACAGATGTAGCCCATGGCACTTCAGTATCCAAGTGGGTTCCATTGTAAGAGGAACAGGGACTGTCTCTGACATGAACTGATTGGTCTGCTCTTTAATTACCTCCCCCTGAGGGGGAAGCAACATTACCAGGCCACAGAAGAAGACACTGCAGCCACTCCTGAGGAGACCTAATTGACTAGGATCAGAAGGAAGGAAAAGAAGACCTCCCCTATCAGTGGACTTGGGGAGGGGTATGCATGCAGAGGGTGAAGGAAGGGAGGGATTAGGATGGGAGGAGGGAGGGAACCACAGGGGGGATACAAAGTGAATAATGTGTAATTAATAAAGAATAAAAAAAAGAGATTTAAATTCCTTTCAAAAAAAATCAGTAGCCCTCCTGTACACAAATGAAAAATGGGCTGAGAAAGAAATTAGAGAAACTACACCCTTCACATTAGTCACAAATCATATAAAGTATCTTGGTGAAAGACCTGAATGACAAGAACTTCAAGTCTCTGAAAAAAGAAATTGAAGAAGATATCAGAAGATGGAAAGATGTCCCACGCTCTTGGGTTGATAGGATTAACATAGTAAAAATGGCTATCTTACCAAAAACAATCTACAGATTCAATACAATCTCCATAAATACCAACAAAGTTCTTTACAAACTTTGAAAGAACAATTCTCAAACTCATATGGAGAAACAAAAAACACAGAATACCTAAAATAATCCTATATAATTACAAAACTTCCAGAAGTATCTCCATACCTGACCTCAAGCTATGCTACAGAGAATAGTAATGTAAACGGCATGATACTGCCATAGAAATGGGCTGGTTGATCAATGGAATTGAATTGAAGACCCAGAAATAAACCCACATACCTCTGCACACCTGATTTTCGAAAAAGGAGCCAAAACCATACAAAGGAAATAAATATAGCATCTTCAACAATGGTGCTGGTATCACTGGATGTGTACATGTATAAAAAATGCAAATAGATCCATATTTATCACCCTGCACAAAACTCAAGTCCAAGTGGATCAAAGATCTCAACATAATACCAGATACATTAAATCTACTAAAGGCAAAAGAGGGGAAGAGCCTTGAACTCATTGGCATTCAGGAAGGAGACAGCTTCCTGAATAGAACACCAACAGCTCAGCCTCTAAGATCTACAATTAATAAATGGGACCTCTTTGAAACCCACTTAATTTGCACACCAAGACTTGTAGTGTCTGTAATATAGAATCTTCCCTTTTAGTTCTAGTGTTCAACCAAAAATAATGGCAAGAGTCTGTAGTGTTTGAGGATCATTTTGGGTATTCCTGATCAATAGCTCACAAGGAGTTATTACACAGTTGGCATTATGGTTTTTGTTTTATACCCCATAGTTTCTAGGGGGAACTCCAGCCATACAAGGGATCTTCTTTTTAATTCTTTTGTTTTTCATAAATCATACTTTGTAGCTAACTTATAAGATAGTATATTTCCATATGGGTTTTCTCTGACCCCTTATGTTTGGTTAACCTTTCTCCTCATCTCCTTATCTCCCTTATATGTCCACCTTCCTTCCTTCTACCTTTTCACCTTAGTTATCACTATCTCTGTGTTCATATTACCTATGCTTTATTATACCATCACAGCTAGGGCATCTCCTTCCTAGTAACCTCTTTCTAGATTTCTGACCTTTTTAAAATTTTATTTATATATTTATTTATTACAATTCATTCACTTTGTATCCCTGCTGCAGCTCCCTCCCTCATCTCCTCCCAGTCCCACCCACCCTCTTTCTTCTCCCCCTATGCCCCTTCCCTAGTCCTCTGATAGGGAAGGACCTCCTCCCCTTCTATGTGACCCTAGCCTATCAGGTCTCATCAGGACTGGCTGCATCATCTTCCTCTGTGGCCTAGCAAGGCTGCATCCCCTCTGCCCACCAGGGAGAGGTGACCACTTGGAAACTTTGCAGCAAATGAGCTTCCTTTGAACAGGGGGTCTAGGTCAAATGATGTAGGAGCCACCTATGAGAAAGAACATATTTGTGGGGAGCTGTGAAGGGATAGATGTGAATGGTGTGTGTATGTGGAGGGGTGCTTTTGTATACACACAGAGGCCAGAGAAGAAGACCAAGTGTCCTATCATGTCACTTAACCTTACTTTCTTGAGGCAGAACCTCTAAGTGAATCTAGAGCTAGGTTGGAAGCCTGGTTTCCTTCTCTGCATCACTCGCCATATTCTCTTCAACAGGATCTCTCTAAACCTGGAGCTATTTTTGAGTTCTCCTCTATCCTCCTGCCACCGCCCTACCCCTCCACCCACACTACATACCCGGCCGGATTACTCGGGAATAAAGGAAGCCATGCCCCATTTTCACACATGGATGCTGAGATTTGACCCAGGTCTTCAGGCTTGCATAACAATCATTCTTAGCAGTTGAACCATCTCTCCAGCCCAAAGTAGGATTATTCCATTTCATAAACGGAGAGGCTGATGGTCAAAGAGGTTTATCACCTTACATAAAACTACAGTTGGATAGGTCATTATTATGTCCTGAGGATAAATTTGTCCTAGTGTAAGGGCTGTGTTAGTTGGTTGCAGTGACACACACCTTATTCTTAGTGTCCCAGGAGGCAGAATCAGGGGAACTGCAAGTTCTAGTCCAGCCTGGAGAACACAGTCAGACAGTGAAACCCTGTCTTGGGGAGAAAAAGAAAAAGAAAAAAAAATCTATGATACTAATCACTGCAATGATACATTTAGAAGAAACATACTAAGGCAAATTAATTATGAATGGCCCCAGAGTTGACCAGAGTTATGATGTACATCAGCAAAGACTGTCTGAAGTTGTCCTAATGTTTGACGTTGTCCACAATCAGAATCATGGAGAATAAGATTGCACAGAATGGAATGAAAGACAGGACAAAAGTGTCCTTGATTTTAAAGGGTTCATTTCCTTTTTCTCATGTTCCGTTTGATGCCATAAATGTCTACTCTACATTTATTTAAGGAGAAATGCAAGAGCAAGAGTGGAATTGTCAGGGCAAAATAAACTATCTCTCTGCAATAAACTTTCATCTTTCTTCATTCATTCATCAGGCTTAATGATATGCCAATACTGCTAGCATATTTGAACATTGTCTCTGACAACTCTGCAAAACAAGACGTTTTCAGAACTGAGAGCTAGTCCTTAAGTGTCTTAGCTATCAGGACCTCTCACATTCTCAAGTGTGTGGAGAAACATGAGGTCGGTCAAATACCAAAGCTCTATGCAGGTGTAGTTTCCGGCCCTCAGTATAGGTTCTCACAGCTCTTGAAAAGCAACTTTTGAGGGAAGCTTTCTGTTTGATGTGGATGATGGCGAGAGTTATTTTTACCCTGTGGAGCCAGAGAGTTCTCATTGAGGAGAAAATTCCCAGCTAATGAGTTAGGAACTGGGCTTGGGTCAAAGAGAAGTACAGTATAGCTTTTAAATCTGGTAGTCATAAGCGTCACTTGTGCCAGTACATGTTGGGCAGGGCTGGGTGTTTCTCTGTATTTGTGAGAGGCTGCAGAGGTGTGAGCTGGGTAGGTGCTTCCATTCCTCTAATCCCATGTGGTTAAAGCTTGGTCATCAGCCTTCTTGGCCAAGAGACATCTTTTCCTGCAACTTCACTAAAACCACAAAGGTGAGGAGGAAAATGCCTATTCATTAGTGTCAAGACTCTGATTCAGATGGCTCGTACGCCTCAACACAGCATTCAATAACCCTCTATATAAGGCATGAGTCAGACTTGCTTCTGTCAAGCTTGTTTTAGACATCAAGGCATTTTATAGAATAAATTCCTTTCTGGGTTTTATGGGCTTGAAATGGAAATGAACATACCTTCAGGGTTCTTTTTTCAGGCCAGTAGTTGAATGATATTACTGTTTGACTTATATTTCATGTTTTAATTCACCAAAACATTTCTTCACTAAATATGGAGAATTTAGGTTATTAAATCAAAAGAATACCTGCCTCATTCCTTCCTACATCACTCTGTGTTTGTGTATATATATATATGATATCCATTTATGTACATTACATGCATTTATATACATACATTTTATATGTATATATATATATGTATGTATGTATGATACATCTCCCTGAAAAACAGTGTAATAAAACTATTGTATATTACTATGAGTGTTGAATACATTGGGAGTCATTCTCAGTATATATATGTGCCTAAACAGCATATATATTTACTAAACAAACTGAAAGCAATGTGTTAATGATTTGGATTATAATAATCTCCCCCTGAAAGTATACATATTTTTAGAAGTATTGGAAGGCCCATTGGGGAGCCTGAGGTGACTGGGTTCCCTTTGTCTCCTAATAGAGTCAGATCTGGAAGGCCTTGATGATCTCGGCACAGTTTACAGCAACATTGGCCAGCAGCTGAATGAGACACTGCGTCGCCGCAGACATGCGGGGGAGAACGATTACAACATCGAGGTGCTTCTGGGCGTGGATGACTCCGTGGTCCGTTTCCATGGCAAAGAGCATGTCCAAAACTACCTCCTCACCCTGATGAACATCGTGAGTAATGACTCCATTTTGAGGCTTTTGGTCCTTTCAATCAAATCTCTTGTCTTGTTAACGTCCTCTGGATAGAAATGTAAGAACCTCACCCACAGCCGGTACATGGCACAGTTTAATTCAAATTCTGATCTACACCTCTAAAGTACAAGAACACAGTCAAAGGAAACAAAGTAAAAATTCTTTTTCGATCAGTCCACTAGTGTCCTTTGTTACCATGTAAAGCCCCCATGTTTTAGAAGCCGTGTTGGATGGTTTTATATCATGGTTTTGATTTTCATTTTGTTTTGGGAACAATTAATACTCTGAAGGCGGTCAGCTTGCCTCCATGTGTGACTGGATAGTTGAACAATGCTTCCCAGTGTTGCTCTGTAGCCCCCGAAAAGATAAATTATTTTTAAAGGTGTATAATAACTTTCAAACAAGTGCATTCTTCAAAATTCTAGATAGAAAGTAACATATTTACAAAGCATGTAGCTATCGGATCAACAGCCGCTAATGGGTCCTTTAAATAATGTATACTTTATTTTTCTTTTATGAGCCTTATTCAGATTCAGAGGCAATTTTGGCATCGTTTCTAATTGATGTCCTTTGAATCTTTGCAACTGGCACAGAGTGATTGCTCAGAAGTAACCAATGATAATATATCCAAGCCTCCTACTTCTGAGAGATAACTGAGGGGATGACCCATTCCCTTTTATGTGTTTTACCTCATGCCATTCTATAGTACATGATGTGCTGATATTGGAAACATGAAAATGGGAAGAAAGTGGAAAAAATGGAATTTAGTTTGGAACAAATGTTTTTCCTATTCCTTTATTGTTAGAACTTATGATTTAAAAATCTGGTGATTCTAAGTGAACTAATTCTATTATGTAAACTACTCACAGAGAAAAATAAGCAGTCATTATTAGTTCTGTTGGAAATATTTTGTGAATGTATTCAAATGTAAAATCATAAACAAATAACCTACAATGAGTTAAGTGTTTTTAAAAGGACTTCCAAAGTTGGCATGGGATTGCGTGACATTGAGTACAGATATGCCTATTGTTACAATGTGGAAGTGCTCATTAATCTCTCATACAGTGCTGCTGTAGAGTCCCGTATTCCAAATTGAGGGAAATTTGTGACTTGTTTTAAAATAGATTGAGTCAAGAGATGTGTGTCTTTTGATGTATTTCCTGTTGTAGCATTCATTTGACATTGAGAGGAGACTTAGAAATGGTTAGATATTGCCCACAGAAAGATTTGTGTTGTAAAACTGTCCACGCAGAAAGGAGTTGTAGTGTTCTGATAGTCATAGCGAAGGCTAGAAAAATGCAGGAAGGAGGAAAGACGAGAACAAAACCTTTAAATAGGAAGATTGATTCTATGGCCATTAACAATTATTCTAAATGAATGTGTAAAGGGAATTTTAATTTAGAATAATATCCTAAGACATGACTTTTATATGGAAGTCTTTAAATTAAAAGTTTGGTCCAGAAAGTAGCATTCTAGAGTTTGTTCTTTGTCTACAAAGTTTTTAGTTCGCCATAAAGTTGTGTGTAGCCTTCCACACTGTCTTGTCTACTAGGGTCTTGGCACTTATGTTCATAGCATGTTAAGAGAAGAAAAGTGGGGAAAATCCTGGAAATCATTGGCACAGGAGACAGCTTCCTGAACAAAACACCAATAGCACAGGCTCTAAGATCAACAATCAATAAATGGGACCTCATGAAACTGAAAAGCTTTTGTAAAGCAAAGGACCCTGTCATCAGAACAAAATGACAGCCTGCAGACTGGGAAAGGATCTTCACCAACCCTCTATCTGACAGAGGGCTAACATCCAGACTATATAAAAAACTTAAGAAGTTAAACACCAACAAACCATGTAATCCAATTAAAATATGGTATACAGAGCTAAACAGAGAATCTCAATAAAGGAATATCGAATGGCAGGGAAACACTTAAAGAAATGCTCAACATCCTTAGTCATCAGGGAAATGCAAATCAAAATGACCCTGAGATTTCACCTTACACGCATCAGAATGGATAAGATCAAAAACTCAAGTGACAACACATGCTGGAGAGGATGTGGAGAAAAGGGAACCCTCCTTCATTGTGGGTGGGAATATAAACTACAACCACTTTGGAAATCGATCTGCCATTTTTTTTAGAAAATTAGGAATAGTTCTACCTAAATATCCAGCTATACCATTCCTAGGCATATATCAGAAATATGCTCAACTATACAACAAGGACATTTACTCAACCATGTTGGTATAGCTCTATTAATAACAGCTAAAATCTGGAAACAATCTATATGTCCCTTAATGGAGAAGTGGATAAAGAAATTGTGGTACATTTACACAATGGAATACTACTCAGCTATTAAAAACAAGGAAATCATGAAATTTGCAGGCAATGGTGGAAACTAAAAAAGACCATCTTGAGTGAGGTAACCCAGAAACAGAAAGACACACATGGTATATATTCACTCATACGTGGATATTAGTCATATAATATAGGATAAACATACTAAAATCTATACCCTAAAGAAGCTAAACAAGAAGGAGGACCCTAGGGAAGATGCTCAATCCTCATTCAGAAGGGCAAATACAATAGACATCGGAAGCAGAAGGCAGGGAACAGGAAAGGAGCCTACCACCTACAGCCTCTGAAAGACTCTACTGATTGAGGTGTCGAAGCAGATGCTGAGACTCATAGCCAAACTTTGGGCAGAGGGCATGGAATTTTATGAAAGAACAGGGGATAAGAAGACCTAGAGGAGACAGGAACTCCAAAAGAAGACCAACAGAGCAAAACAAAACAAAAACAAAACAAAAAACCCTGGGTCCTGGGGCCCTGCAGAGACTGATATCCCAACCAAGGACCATGCATGGAGAGGACCTAAAATCCCGGCTCAGATGTTGTCCATAGACTCAGTCTCTAAGTGGGTACCCTAGTAAGGGGAACAGGGTCTCTGGTATGAACTCAGTGGCAGGCTTTCTGATCACCTCCTGTTTGGGGGTGCAGCCTTGCCAGACCACAGAGGAAGACAATGAGTATAAGATCAGTTAGAAGGGGAGGAGAACTGCCCCTATCAGTGGACTAGGGGAAGGGTATAGGGGGAGAAGAAAGAGGGATTGGTGGGATTGGAAGGGGACGAGGGATGGTACCACAGCTGGGATACAGAGTGAATAAATTGTAATAATAGATAGATAGATAGATAGATAGATAGATAGATAGATAGATAGATAGATAGATTGATAATTTTTTAAAAAAAGAAAAGGAAGCATGGAAGGTGATGAAATACGAACTCCTGTAAGAGTGAAAGCCGGGTTTGCAGGGAGTGCCACCTTGTAGAATCGCATCGTTTTACTCTATTAGAGCCTATGAAATTATCAAGAGGCGATTAATTAAAAGGATATAAAAAGTATATACTTTCTCATGGGCCTCTATACCTCTGTTGACCATCAGTTACCTCACACCTGAGTCACTGGCACACTTCTTTATGTGTTGATTCTTAAATGTTTGGTGATGGTGTTTTTGCACATCACTTTCTCCTGGTCCACCTTCTTTGCCTCTTCAGTGTCTTCCTGCTCAATATTCACCTATGAAAGAATATAAGAAAATCCATACAAATCCCTATGAGATTCCAAGATCGATGAAAAGGAACCTATTTACCTTGCTTTATAGTATAATAATACAAAAAGGTAATACGTACAATTATTAACAGTTGGTATGAAGATATGAGTTACTTTTCCAGATTTTATTTCTGCTGATGGAGAGGGAAAGTCCATAATGGCAGGGAGAAATTCCAACAAGCAGGTAGAACAGGAAGTTAAGTGAGCACAGCTTCACAATAAACACAAAGCAGAGAGTGGACCAGAAGTGGGCCAAGGCTAGAAGTTCTCAAAGCCACATCCAAGTCTACATTAGCTCCTCCAACTTCACCACCAACAGGGGAACCAAAAATTTAAATACCTGTGCCTATAACAGGATAGGCTCATTCAAATCACCACACCATATATATAGAAATTACTATGCAGACTATCAAGCTAATGTTACTTTTATAAAAGTAATTGTAAGCTTTCGGCATTTATTGAAACATTGATACACTATACCATGCCCTCAAGATGCTTATAAATCAAAAGACAAACTAAGAATCCTAGGCTTTTAGGCATGGAATGAGCATGGCTTCCTAGTGAAATGTCTTTGCTGTAGAGTTGGGAAGGTTTCATTATTGTTGCTGACACAGTACATTGATAGAGATGGTAACGGTTACCATGTCTTCTACCTGGGCCTTTCTGCTTTATCATAGGAAATAACATCCCTGTCTTTGTTTTTCTGTCTGTAGTCTGGTCTTTTCCAGGGACATTTCATTTATTAAGAGCAAGGTCATTAGAGATCACATGAGTCTTTCACAAATTATTTTCTCATTGGTACAGTATGCTTTAATTTTTTGAAAGTAGTTTGGCTGTTAGGCTGTTTCTTCCCTGAATACAGTAGCTGTATATTTTTAAGCTATATATGTGGAGCGTTGAAAACTACCTGCCATGTCTGTGTAAATGAAATAAATCTTATAAGAAAACATTGTTTTAAGAAGCCAGGGTAGCAGTGTGGCTAGAAACAGAAGTGTCCTAGGAACTCATTGACTACCCAGTCTGGCTAACTGATAAGCTTCAGGTACAGTGAGATGGACCTTAGAAGCTAAGGTGGGGAGCCATAGAAGAAATACGAGCTTTTAATTTTTATATGCACATACATGCATACCATAGCCCACTCCACACCCCCACACAGGATGACCCAGCACAAAAATGAAAGACAAAACACCCCTACAACATCCTTGTACTTTCAAGAGATCTTCACTAAGGGAATATTCATTCTTCTGTCTGTTGAAATCGGTGGTTCATGAGTGAACAGCAGTGGGAAGATAGTGGAAGAAGCTTCCCTATTCACCGTATTTTTGAAAAACACCCCCTGATACTCCAGTTGTTACAAAGTGTAATAACTGAGTG